GTCTCCTAGCGTAATGTGGTGCGCCAGAGTACTACCATGGACGCTTGGGCGTCGCGATGGCAACGCATCCATTGGCCCCGCATGGTGCCGGGCTGCCGCAGGTCGCTCTCCGCTACATCAAGAAGGCTCCCGATCGTGAGCTCGGTCGTCGACGAGCTCTCAAAGCGCGCAAACGCTTGAAATGCCGCCGCTTCTTCGGCGCTGTACTCGCCGCCCACCTCCACAACGAGCGACGTGCCGCAAGATCGCCGCGTCGTGTGCTGCGGGCAGCAGTGCGGAAAGCACCTGCGTCGCTTGGTTAGCCGCCAGAGACAGCGTCGAGGTCGTCGTACCTGATGACCTAATGCAGCGGGATGAGCCAAGGTGCGCAAGCGAATCACCGTACCTTTTGGCCGTCCTGTTTGTTGTGCCTGCGTGGCACGCTGTGAGGCGACGTCGAAGAGAAGAGGAGTGTACCGCTGGTAGCTGCTGGCGAAGAGGAGGCCGCAGATCGTGCACGCCTGGAAGCCGCAGAAGAGGCGGTCGGGCAGAGCCATCGACGCCACTCGCTATGACAACTTGTTGGGTTCGACAGATTTGGCCACGCCGCGGGATTTAATTTTGACCATTTTTAACCTTTGGGCCAGCACCGGAAATGGGATCAAGATGGCTTTGTCCCGTGGTAAAACAGCCCCGGATGGGATTTACCCCAGGGGCGCATTGCGATCCTCGACAATGCGTCTGCAAATGGTCTGTGGGCGTGCAGCGGCTTCGATGCACTTGCGTCTGTATAAAGCAATGCTGTGGAAGACGATCGTGCGCGACGGCTGGACAGCATACGATGGCGTGGGCCAACGCGGTTTATGTCGTCCCGACGCGTGATGGCGTGATCGTTGGGTTATTCCAAAGGCTTTGGGAAAATGGGAAATACTGTTTGTCCCAATTAAATTATAATGTGTCAACATTGACCATATTATTTTTAAATCCATTGTTCTGGAGCGGAACGGCCGAGCCACTCCTTTGAAACGTCAGGACGAGACGTGGATCGAGGGAGCTTGCGCGCTGACCACAAGTCAGCAGCTCCTTGCAGGCCGAGTCCCGTATGAGACCAAGCACAGCCCGCGCACGCCAAAGTGGCCGCAGCTTGGCAGCTCCGCGATCCGAGGATTCACCAAGATCTCGTCCAAGTCATTGGTGGAATCTCATATAAACCCAAGAGACAGGGGAGAGATTCCTTTCGTTTGAGCTCAACAATCGCCAACAGCGGGACATTTCCACGTGCTCTAAGATCTCAGTATCCGGCCCATCCGGACAGCAGTGTTGACGGGTTGCTGGCATCAGGCTGAGATTGTTGCGTCGGTTGAGCACGATGAGCCCTTGCGGTTATATTGTGCTTTGATGTACGGCTCAACGTGTACTAGTATCGACATACGACTTGCAAAGCCTTTGTCCTCACCGGTGTGGACAGCACCCTTGGTTGAGACACATGGGCACGGCGTCCTTGATACAAACCGCATGGACAAGAAACTTTGCGAGTACCTTGGTTGGCTTCGTTTGGCAAGGTCAATCCTCACATGGATCCCGTAAATATCGTGATCCATGCTCTCTCATCGGTTGGGCTTATCCAGTATTCGTAATGTTCAATTGTATTTTATCCATCTCTAGCTGTTGGAATATACCAGCAGTGAGGAAACAAGCGTTGTGAAAGCATGTTCCGGTATGCACGAAGGGCTCCCATTGAATGTCCGGATATGTAATCGGTATGCGGACGCTTCTATTTTTAGACGCCAACGGGCGAGCGTGGCAGTCGTCCAGCGCTTCCATCATGGACAAGTACCTCCGGCTCCTCACGATGGGGATGCCCCGCGAGCACGTCGAGCTCAAGATGCGCGCTGAGGGCGCAGACCCGTCGCTGCTGCCGTCATCGTCAGTAGGCGCCGACGCCTCTGTGCCACCGCCGCCCAGTCCACCGACGGCAGCGAGCCCCAGCTTGCAGGCCGACGACAAGCCGGCCCCGAGCGCATCAACAAGCCTGAACGACCCACGCATCGTCTCGACCGAGATCGATACCGATCAGAGCCGTGCTCCTCCACGCTCGCAAGAGCTGTCGAATGCTGCAAGTGCTAACGCGGCGCCATCAACTGCCGCATCGATCGAGCGTGCTCGCCCTGCGATGACGGAGAAGATGTTTACCGTCAACTTGTCGGGCAGTGGCCATCATGTGGCGGTGCCGTCCTTGCGCGACCGGCAGCGGCGATGGCTACAAAAGACCCTCGTCTCCTTTGGGCGGGTACGTCTCGCTTGGTAATCGAGTTACTTAGCGTCTCGTAGGCCACGCCCACCCCCGATGACGTGTACGTCAAAGCCAAAGATCGCTTCCTCGGGTTGCTCAAGAGCATCGTGGACATTCGCGCAAGTTTGTCGCGCTACAAAGCCATGCTGCCGCAGTACTCGCTGGCGTGCGCGCAGCTGGGCGTCGACGTGTGGTGCGTCACGAGCGCCGACGCGGTCGGGCGGCAAAGCGTCGCGGCCGAGACCTTTCGCCACGCCATGTGTGCCATCAACGAAAAGCAAGAGATCAAATCCCACTTTTTCAACGCGGTACGTCATATTTCACGTTTCGATCGTCAAATTTGGGCAATACACCACTACTGTCGTAGGATGCAGTGCTCTCGGGCGCCATTCAGTTTGTGGACATTCATATTCGCACCATGGAGTCGTTCAAGGTACAGACACTATACATTGTTCAATGGCGCGAGGACCCATACACATGGCGGTATAGCCGATGATGCAGCACCGCGAAGCGCTCAAGCTCGACTATGACAGCTTTGATCGAAGCGCCCAAGCCATGCGCCGTGCCAAACGCAGTGTACCCGAGCTCTCGAGAGCCGACGCCAACGTCGCGACGGCCCGCGCTGCGCTGGACGCCGCCACGTTGCACTTGTTTCGTCATTTTGCCAAGTACGAGGCGCAGCGTGACACAATGCTGGATGGCGAGCTCGAAATGGTAGTGTCTACAGTTCAATATCCCTTTGTCATTCGCGGGTAGGTGCGCCAGGTCATGCACACGTTCTACGAGAAGAGCGCCGAGGTTACTCGCTTCACGATCGATACGCAAGCGGACGCCCAAGCGCTGCGCGCCAAAGAAGACAGCGTCGGCCATATCCTGCCTGTGCTGGTGTCGTTTGATGAATGTGGTGTAGCTCTTGGCTGCGATGACGTCCAAAGGACTCTTGACGCCACCGCCTGCGAAGGACGGTTCTATTGTCATGGAGGACGTGGAGCTCGGTGAGCCCGCGCCAGAGGCCAAGTGGACCCAGCAGCTCCACTCGTATCGATCGCACTGTCCCAAGATACCCGAGATCAAGCGCAAGCGCGTCGACCAGCCATGACTCCACCCCAACTCGAGCAAACCAGGCGAACATTTTCACAATAGTTTAAACGGAGCGGTTTTTCTGTCGGATAATAGACACGGAGCATTGACTACCTTCACGACCGGGGGTTGTCCCATCTCTGCTACGGCTTCTTCAAGGAGCTCCGTGGGGTCCACGGCAATTTTTGGGCATCCACTGACAGAGTGTACTACTGCTGCACCCAACGCGCCGGTTCGTTGCCGAGTGCTCTCAACTCGGACTCTAGTTGCAGGCCATTCCATGGCGTCGGACGTGACTGCCAATGCCGGCAACGACGGGACCTCGACCGTCATGTGTACCACGGAGGCTCAGGTTTGTCAACGGTCCGAATATGCCGAATTTAGTTTCGCTTAAATGCGGCACTTGAAGCACCCATGCGCGTCGAAGCATTCGGAAGGCTCCCAATTGCACTCGACGACCTCTTGGCTTATCGCACCATTTACATAGCGATAGAGGGTATGCAGTCCATGTTTTCTGGGCGGCCTTTTGCTATTAGCGTCCCTCTGCTTCGGCTTGTTGAATTGTCCAGTGTGTTCCGCGGCTTGGAGGACTGTTCTTCTTACTTGTCGGAATCCTTTGCTGGGCCGGACAAAGAAGCGCCGTTCGTCTCTCCTAGGAGCCACCCGCTTGGCCCGTCCGGTCGGTCCGAGCGCTGCAATCGGTGCGACGGCGTCGTCCATGGCTGGCCTTCAACGCATGTCATTGGCATAGGTTCTTGGAGCAATCACAGATCGCCGTCGATCCATGAGTGGCGATGCAAATGCCGAATTGAAGGTGCCGATTTTACCAAGTTGCCGGCTGGTGGGCGGGATCCTTGACACGGAAGCGTGTCTTTTCCGCGCGCGTGTGTATCGGCAGCCATTTCCGCTTTTTCTAGTCGCATGGAGCTGCCGGCGTTTGAGCTCAGCACGTTCCGACGCTTCATCCGCAACCTCCGCGATTTGCCGCCGATCCTCGTCGTCCGCGACTACATTGGCCGCAACGCGTACGCGGTCGTGAGCAAGGGCGAGCTGCGCGACGACGCGGTCGCGCTCAAGCGCAGCTTCGCCAACGTCACGAGCCGCGAGCACTTGGTGCGTGAGACACACCTTCTCTCGGGGTACGACGGCCTTTCTACTTGAAAAATGCGCGAACATACACTGTAGGCTCGAGCACCCGAGCATTGTGACGTGCCATGGCGCGACGTGGCGCGGCGGCGCCATGGACTCGGCGCGCAACGACCTCTGCTGCGTGCTCGAGTTTATGGAGGACGGCAACCTCGAAGACTACTTGCGTGCGCACCCGTCGCTCCCGTGGTTTCCCGTGAAGCTGCAATGGCTCTACGACATTGCACTCGGTACGACAATGGCATGCGCCACCAAGGTCGTGACGCAGCGCGGACATTAGGGCTTGCGTATCTGCATCGCGTGGGCTTCATCCACCACGACCTTGAGCCGTGCAACGTGCTTTTGCGGGGCGACCATGCCAAGCTCTGCCAGTTTGGCCAGTGCCTCCACGCTTCTGAAGAATTCGACGAGGTCGCGACCACTGCGACGTACGCTGCCCCTGAAATCGCCGTCGAGGTGCGCCCTTTCTCGATTTGTTTCGTATTTTCACCGATGTTTCCCGCCTTTTCCCCGATTTTAGAACTGCAATTTGCCCGAAAGCGACGTTTGGTCGTTTGGCGCACTTCTGGCAACCATGGACCGGCACATGGCGTCCTTTCTGCGCAACGACGAAAACGACGACAATGACGCGAATGACGCGAATGACGCGACGATGTTGACGCTCAAGATGGCGCACGCACTCGCGGAGGAGCACATGACACCCGCGTTTGCCCATTTATGCCCGCCCGAAATCCTGTCGCTGGCGCGCGACTGCTTGCGCATGGACCCTTCCTGTCGCCCGACCGCCGACGAGCTCGTCGCTCGCATCGAGACGATCGCAGACGAGTACAACATGGTGTTGAAGCCTCTGCCCATGTCGGCAGTCGCCGAGAAGCGCGAAGCCGAGCTTCGCAAGGTGCTGCCACCGCGGCGACGACGCTACTGACCGCGCCGGCTCTGGAAAGAGGTGGTGGACGTCTTGCCAAATGGCTTTGATCGTTTATAATAGTATTTTCTCGAGTTCCGATTCTTGTCTTGGCACCAAGCGACGCATCGAATGAAGGCGGACATTCCTGTAGGGCTAGGGTTGAACCGGTTTGGAAAGGTTGTGCAAAACACACAGTGAGAATGCGTTTGGTAACGCCACAAGATGTGGTTGCGTGATTACAGATACTGCTCTAACAGTGTGCAGAGCTCCAGCGTCGTCGGGCGCTCGGAGGGTTCGAACGCCATGCAGCGCTGCGCCACTTCAAGGACCCATGACGGCGTCGTGTCCGAGCGCAGGCGTGGGCGGAGCGCGCCAAGCGTCACTTGCGTCATAATGTACTGCTGCGAGTAGGGGCGGTGTGTGCTTGGGTCGATGAGGTCAGCGTACGGCACCGCGTGCGTCGATAATTCGGTCAAAAAGACACCTAGCAGCGACATGTCTCAGAACCCTACCCCTGAAACAAACTACTGACCAAACGAGTACATGTCGGCCGAGACGCTGTAGTCGGTGCTCAGAATGACCTCGGGCGCCATCCACTGGTACGTGCCAATGCCGTTCGTGAGTGTGGACGCGTCGACTTGGCGCGAGCAGCCAAAATTCGTGAGCTTGGCGCCCCGGGTCGCGTCGAGCAGGACGTGCCGCGCTTGCAGATCCCGGTGGATAATGTCTTTTTCATGGAGACTGAGCAAGCCCCTTGCGACATGCACAAGATATTGCGTCTTGTGGGTCCACGCAAGACGCGGCTGCGTCATCAAGACGAGCTGCAGATCGCCTTGGTCCATGTACTCAATGACGCACTCCATGTCGATGGGCCGGCACCAGCTCACGCCATAGAGGCGCACCACGTAGTAGCTGTCTTGGACTCTATACCAGGATACACATATTAGACTATACCAAGAGACAACGGTCCCTACTGCGTCAGCAACTGTAGCTCGTGGACAAAGCGGTAGACGGTTTTGGGACTGCGATCGCGAAGACGCTTGATGACGACGGTCTCTCCTTGATAGTGGCCACGCCAGACGTCCACGTCGCTGCCGGTGGCCATCGGTGCGTCTCCGATGACAGCATACGCGCTCGACGCGATCTTGAATGGAGTTAACAGGGCAACGTCCAAGTCAACGCCTCGCTCGTCCATCGAGAGAGCCGACATCGACGAGGACGACGGTCGGCGGACCACCGTTTTGTTGAGAATGTAAAACACTTGCGTCGGCTTCGGGTCTGCCTCGGCGGCGGGGGTCCGTCGCTCTCGCCGCCGCTTGCGACACCACCAAAAGAGAGCTGCAAGAAGAACGAGCGCGGCGGCCCCAAGACCGAGACCGAGTCCGAGTGCATAGCCTAGTTGAGCGCTGAGCTTTCTATCACAGGACGTGCGATATATACTGCCTGTGACGGCGGGCTCGTCGGGTAAATCTGCGTGTAGGACAAGTGTGAATATACTTCATCCCGAAGGCGAGTAGGACCTGTGATGCAGACGGGGATCGAGACATTCGCCGTGAGGTTGCGCATGCGGCCACCGATGCTGTCGCAGGCCCAGCGACTACCAGCATCGACGCGCGGAAGGGTCGTGGCGAAGAGTCCTTTGGCTGCGGTCGCATTGGCGGCGATGGAAAGTGCGTTTAAGGCGTCAAACGTCGCTGCAGGTGCCACGAATGAGTTTAAACTGCAGCCGTCAACGCCACTACGTCACACGCATCAACTCTCGAGCAGGCATCGCTTTAGAGTACAAGTAGACGAGCGGCTTGGAGAGGTTGACGTAGTTGAAGGAGACGAGCCGGTTGCCGCTGAGATCGCTAACACCAAGGATGAGCTTCTTGCTGCGCATGTCGTTGAGGGTGTCCTACATGTACTTGATCGATGTCCAATCTTGGTTCTGGATGGCTTCAATGTCGTTGTACGAGACGTCTCTAGACTCAAGATGCTAATACCTCTGCAGCATCTACGGAGTAGAGTCGTCGTACAGTGCCATCAGGCCCGTCGGGAGGTTCTCGAGCTGCGTGAGCTCGTTGTCGGGTAGCGCGCTACATGGCCGCTTTAGTCCGCGAAGGTCGAGCGAGGGCACCTACAGCGAGAGGAGCTCGGACGGCAGCGGCGCTGGGATCGTCTTGAGGCCTGCGCTGCTTAGCCACCTACGCACGCACGGCGGGTCGCCAACGGTACAGAGATGCGATGGTGTACAGCGTGCCCAACGCGTCGGGCAGGCGCATGTACGTCGTGTTGAGCGGCGACGAGGTGTTGAGAATGTACCTATGCCACACTCTGCGGCGTACTTCGTGGAGAGGAAGGAGCGTACAGCGCATCGAACGGGTACAGCGTCATGTTGCCGATCGCGTCGATGCCGGTGGCCGTGCGCTGGCGGTCGTCGAGCGCCGAGCTGTTGACGAGCGCGCACGCCGGACTCACAAGACACATGGCCTGCCCGGCGCCGCAGTACGCATCGGCAACGAGGATGCGCGACGCGTTCGAGAGGCCACTGTACGGACAGGGCGGCGCGGGCATGCGAGACAGCGGCGAACTGGGTATCGTCCCGCTAAGTTCGAGTGGGACAGATGGCGGCAGTGTGCGAGAAGAAGCAGATGCGTGAGGCCATCGACGTGCGCCAAGGCCGCCAAACGATGGTCCTAACACGGCGAGCAACACTGCTAACCAAGGTACTTGCTGAGCAACATCCCGCAGGCGTGACGTCGGCCATGGACAAGGCGACCGGTCGACAGTACGGAGCACCTTGCACGACGATGGTCGCCCGGTGGCGGTCGCCTTGGCGATCTGCAGAGCCCATCGGCTTGTGCCCACATATTGTACAGGCGGCGCTTGTGACAAGGCCATTGTGCAGGAAAAGAGCCATCTCGCGGATGGATGGCCGTGGAGCCGCGCGATGTACTAAGTGGACGTCGTGTTCGTCTAGTTATACCTAATCCCGCGGCGATCTCTATAGCTACTTGGTCTGCATGCGTGCGTTTACTCGAGCTCGCCAACGCCGCCCATTTCAGCGATCTTGGCCAAAAGCTCGTCGGCTTCGGCCTTCTTGAGGTCCTTCTTGAGGACGGCGGGGACGCCCTCGACGAGCTCCTTCGCCTCCTTCAGGCCGAGGCCCGTGATGGCGCGCACTTCCTTGATGACCTTGATCTTGTTCTTGGCATCAAAGCTCACGAGCTTGACATCGAACGACGTCTTCTCCTCCTTGACTTCCTCGACAGCCGCCGCGCCGCCGCCGCCGCCGCCAGCCGCAAAGCCCATTTCGGGGATGTCAAACTTGGCCTACGACGCACAACAGTTAGCCGATATGCCCACACCGCGTTTGAGCAGATGGAGTACCTGGATGGCCATGGCGAGCTCGGCGATTTCAATCTTGGAGAGGTCCGCGATCGTGTCGAGGGCGACCTGAACGCGGGGCGTCAGGCCCGTGACCTCCTTGGAATCTTCGCTCGCTTCGACGAAGCGGGGCATGGAGGTCGAGATGGCGCGACGGCCGGCGGCGCGGCCAGCGACGGCGGTGGACGAACGGAGGACTCGGGCGAGCATGGTCTCGAAATTGCACTGGCCAAGCGCGGTCCTCCCACAATTGATACCTCTCAAGGTACATCCCGTACATTCCCATACACGTACGTTCAAGAATGTACGGTACGGCTGCGTGTGTTGGAGCCATACATCTTGGCCAATCCAAGGCCGTCGTGGCACATCCGGATAGCCGACAACCGGCGTCCGCAGTCCACGATGGCGAACCGGATGATGCCAAAGCCGATCTCTCACCTTCGGCAGCGTCGATCTGAGGGCATTTTGAATCCAAAGCGGTGGCATGGCACCGTGCGGAGTCGCATTCAAACGGTCGGGGACCAGAATGCAGCCACTGTATGAACTAAATACTGTTTCAAATGCAGCTCCGCAACACAAAATCTTGAAACTCTGTCTGCACGCATACACTGCCTCAACGACGAGCTATATGCAAGCAGCAACAACTTGTGGTATTCAAGTGCACAC